GAGACTCATCAGTCTGCGGTTTGCAACGCATCGTGTTTGAGGGTATGTGCTGGTTTATGTTGGTCTTGGTGGCCATTGGCAGAATAGGCAATTGGGCAACGTGATTATGCAATGCAGTGTAGCACATGTTTACGTCCATCTTTGTTCCTGCTAGTCGTCTGGTGTATGGTACGAGTGTGGCTGGATGCTCCCGACGCACTTCCCGTCATGTGTCCGCACTCATTCCCCGGGTCGGAGGTTCTGATACTTCTGTTTTGTACAACTGTTCCTTCGGCAACTACCGGTATGTTTGTTTGTCTGGTTGGCTGACCATGTCTGAAAGGTCATTCTCATCTTGTTGGCCGCCTTGTTCACCCAATTGATGGCCAGATTGGACTGACAGTTATTTCGGTGTAACCCTTGGGGTGAGCAAAACGAATATTCACCGAAAATGAAGATGGCGTCTGTTCTGTATCACAATCGGCCCCTAAGCACTACATATGATCCAAATGAAGCTTATGGGGGATGTCTCATCGTCGTCTTCACCAGTGGTTATTACTCTTGTCATTTAAATGATTCGCATCTGAATGGCGCCGTATAAACATGGATCGTGAGANCTCGACATAGCGAATAAATCGTCGTGTGCATAAGAAGAGTGCCATGGATTAAAACAAACAGAAGACGACAGACGCACTTCTGTAAATGTACACATGCGCCTACCGATCTGTATATATATCTATGAAAGCATGTTCTTCGTATAAGCATATATCAGACATTCGATGAAATCTGTTCAGCGGTACCTTCTGTTGTGCGTCTTAGCCCCTTCGGGTTGGGATATACGTTTTTTGTGNTGGTATATCAGGTGTACTGCAAAACGATGATAGTTGTAACTGTACAGTGCGATACAGAAGGTTGTTTAGCTATTTGGATTCCACTTACCTTTCAACTGGAGTCATACATTCCAACATGTTGTCCTTGTGCGTTTTTCTCGTGTTTCATGACCGTCTGTTTTTTCTCCTCAGGCGTGGGTCACACTTTATCTCACATCATTGTTTTGGGTTATATTGGAAAAAGATAGAACTAGGATCTTTGTTTTCTAGGAAAATGTCTTGAAGAAACTAAAGTCAGTTCTTCTACTATATTTCACTCACCTTCCCTTATGATGAATATTGCTCCCTTCACAACATTTTTATCCAATCGCTTATCGATTTCATCCCCACTTCTGACTACTTTCAGGGATCTCACATCAGTCGTCCCTTGACACGCATGATCCCGTGCCAACGAACCATGGGTCGTACTCTATGTCGGCATCCGCGGTGCCGACGCTTACTGCGACCAGGAAACCGGCGTCACCGGAAACGACCCCGCAATCGTGGCCTATTTCAAACCTCTCACATATCCCCTGGTATGCGTGACGCCTCACGGTGTTCGGACGTAGACACACGCATGCTCACCTGTTTACGTGATTGCGTACAACGTATCCGTGAGCCGTTCACACCGGAAGAACAACTGGAGACTGGGGTAGCGGTCACACTGGAGCAAGAGTATAATCGAATGGATGCTTGTATTCGCCGGATCATTCGCGTGGTTAAATTGCTCCCCTACTTCAGTGATATTGGAAAACCTGCTCAGTTGAGCCTACTCCGAGTAAGTGAAAAATATGACTTAAAAACCAACGGTGATTGCCCCACGTGCTATCTGATCCTGTTTGTAGTAGATTACCCGCCCCCCCCTCTCCAGTCGTTCCCTTTTCAGCAGGAATGTGTCACAATTCGCAATTGTGAACCTTGGTTTCTGCTTTGTCGCAGCACATGAATAAAATCACTTCGACTTGAGATAAAGTGGGTTGTCTGTCCTCTGTCTGTTCCATTTAAATACTAATTGCTTTTCTTTGGCCCAAATCCAGAAAGCATTTCCTACTAAGTATACTGTATAAACAGATGTTTCACTTTTCCTGAAACAACGCGATAATTCCCCGATCGGTTTTGTGACTAGCAATGTACAAAACGGAGAACGTCAGCTGTGTCCTTTTCCCCGATTAATACCACCACGGCCACGGTGGCAGTCCATGCGCCCGTCAGTCACGAACAAGAATAGGAATTTATCCGATTGATGATTGCATCTCACGTAATCATTTCATTTGTTTCATGAAAAATAGACAGAATCCATTATGCAGGCTTTGGCACTGGATTACGTCATGGTTGTGTGACTAAGCGATTTTCTCTTCTCTTGGCTAGGGAAGTTTGAGAGCTTGAATCAGTCTGCGTTATGCGCACAGCTTAGACTTCATAAGTCGGATGCTAATCACCTCTGCGGTTGCTAACGTCCGAAACCGTATTACTCTCGAGGGGTGTGATGAGACTCGATAAATACCGAGCGCATGTCAGCCAAGTATCCCGTCTCTACCAGATGAGCAACGATTGAGCTTGACACAGCACTCAACGCTCTACAACGCAAATTGATTCAAGCTCTCAACCTCTCCTGGCCGAGGGGAAGGAAAATCGCTTGTTCACACGACCATAACGTAACTTTGATTCTCTTGGGCCCATTGCTAAACACATGACTCATCCACCATTCTGTTTGACCCTATTGAAATTGTTTCATATAAATGTGATTGTAAAGGCTGGAAAAGGAATTCACGAAAAACATATGTTCGTATACGTTGTGTTCTCAATTAACTTTGCTCTCACTACTTACAGTGAATACAAAAGAAAAACTTCCTAAAATCTCTAATTGTTATGGCTGTACTACTCCGCACATTCCAGATTCGAACGGATTGATAGGTGACCTCTTCGTTGTTCAATGGTATTGAGCACTCTCCATGTGTGTACTCAGGAAATTGAGGCGTTTTTTTCAACTCGAAGACAGTGAAAGAGTCAGCTCCAACCCATGTCCGCTTGCGCATCAACTCCGTCATAGTTACGACCAGGTTATTCACTAAGACGAATACACGCTGTTGAGTTGAAAGTTTTCAGCTGCAGTTCAGCTGCACTCTCATTCGATGAAACTGTTTCTAATGTCAATTCGTGATCACTGCTCACAAGCCCGTTCACACACCCTCTTGAATCGTTGGTGTGTTCGTGGTGGGGTTTGCTGGCCCCCTTTCACTGCTCGTGAAAAAATCATGGTTGTCACTCCCTGCAGGATGAAGCAAACGGACGATGACAAACACATTTGGTCTGACTGAACGCATCAGGTCTGAGCTTTGGGGACACATGCGAAGACTTCAACCGCCATACTCCTGAGGGAGCGGGTAACTGTGATCAATGCAAAGGGTATTTTCTTCAAACTGCATCGACCAAAACAGGACAGGCTTGTGAGCTGTGATCTCTGATGGCCATTTGGATACAGCTTCGTCGGGTAAAAGTGCAACTGACCCGCAGCTGAAAATTATACTGAGCGCTGTGTTTCGGCTATTAGTGAATCAATTGATCTATAGTGTTACTTTTTTGAGACATCTTTCTTCTTAATCAACGCTAGGTGGTGAACGAAAATCGTGAAAATTGATCATTGATCAGGCTCACTGCTCCCCCACCTCGTCTGTCTTGGATGAATCCTGTTGTATTTACATTCCAGCATACACCGTTGTGACTGGTTATGTTCTCATTGGACAACTATTCCCTAACCAAGAAGCTATTTGGTTCAGTGCATTGAGCTGCAAAAAGTAGTTCGGCATAGATGAGTTCGGGTCCGTTTGTACCACCCGTAACCATGCCCTTTCGTGCCCCCATTTGTTGGTTGGTTGCCGTCTTTTGGCTGCCCTGCAATTACTCGCACCGAAAGCAAATAACAATGGCGGTAGAGAAGTCAAGTCAAATGCAAAAACCGCATTCGTTCACCCTGTAAAGGATCAATGTTCAGCTACTATTCAATCACTCTTCTGTAGTGGAAATGAGAGGATGGAAACAAAAAAATCATGACACGTTGCATGCATAAATAACTAAACAAATTAAGCAAAGTTTGAGTTTAAGTTGCTAGTAAAAAACCGCCTAATCTACGGCATTATACAAGACACGTATATTATGATGCGTGCTGCTATATGCTTATACTTGGTGCAAGTGGTAGATGTGGGGATACATTTACTAAGATGTGAGTAGAGAGAGTGAGGCGGGTCCAGCAGTATTCTGGAGTAAAGTTTCTGGCAAGCCTTAAAGTGCTGTACAACTATAAACTGCATAACGTTTTGGCCAGATATATCCCTGTATCGTCGTACGTGTTTAATGGATGTACGTATGAGTTTAAAGTCATTGATGCGGAGACCGGTAAATATAACTGGGAGTTCATAAAGTCAGTGGGGAAAGATATAAGTGAATGAAAAACATTTCATTAAGTAAGTTGGAGTACTTTCAAACGGACAGTGTCAAAGGTGAGCTGTCTCGACGACATGAGGAGACGAAGATAGAGAACTGGTTCCTCCGATGTGTCTGACGGAGCACGCTCTGGAAAATTGTTTTCCATTGAGAATGACATGTTGACAAGATTTCATCACAACAATGTATTTGTCACCCTTCAGTCAATACAGTAAGGCATTTTACACTTGGAATGATTCATTCTAAGTTCGTAATATGAAAAGCAATCGGTGAACAGTGAGATACATGTGTAAGCAAATTGAATGGGATCAGATGCATCCAGCTCGGAGGATTTCTTCTAGAACTTCTTCTAGAACTCAATCCAGCGGTTATGCCAGCAATCAAGCGAACTTTAGGCCTTCCCTTTTGGGTGTCTGGTGTACTAGAAATGCTCTGTCCAGTCGTCCGGATTACATTTCTGAGTATAGCATAGGTTGAACAGATCGGTAAAAAGCAGAGGAGAGTGACATTGCACATTATTTACGCACCACTGATGGCAGTCCATCAGGACCGCATGCTTCATTTGTCTGTTGATTGATTAGAGCTTTTATTTTATTTTCTTTCACCACGCAACCAATTGCAGAGAACTGGCAAATGTGCCACAACATATGAACTGAAAGAAATCTAAAGAATATGTTCATATGTCGATTATCAAAAGTTCAATAGCCTCGGTGGGATTCGAACCCACGCATGAACGGCACCTACGCTGTGTACGCGCACGCTCTACCAGCAGAGCTACGGGACCACCCCGATTACACTGATCTTTTCATATTCGAATTTATCCATCCAACCTGTCGGAGCAGTCTGCTTACATACTAACTGGTGGATGACATATGCCTCTGTAAGCAGGGGACTGAAAACGGTCTGATTGAACGTATAAAGTTCCCCATAGGCAGCATCTATCATTACAGAACTAAAAGTATTCAGGCAGTTTGTCAAAGAAGTTTGAGAATCACTATGTACAAATAGAGAGAAATTTATTGCCCTTGTTCGCCGAGCTTGGTAGTTTTTGCTTGTAAACGGTTCATCACCAGCGGAGGTGACGTCGTCAGTGCTTGTGAAGTAGCAGTGTTCTGCTTATACCTGTTCGTTTATATACGGGTTCCTATTCGCCAACTATCTTTGTCCGTTGCTCTCACTGCGTTCCGCCCGGTTTGGCGTTGAACTGATCAGTTAAACGCCGGACGCAGTTGGAACAAGTAGTCAGCGGAAAGGAACACACACAAACGAACGGGTGCAAGCAGAGCATTGCCACTTCACAGGCAC